TTTGTTTGTTTTTGTTTTCAAAATACGAGAAAAACTTTTATATAAATTGCACTTATATTGGAAACTGATGTAATCAGTGATTCTAGGAAATTTTATTACAAAAGTGTCTAGTGAAGCAGTAGGAAATCTAGCACTTATTGGGTGTTTAATAGCCATGTAAAAAAAAATTACAAATTTATCAGAGATATTATCTATTATGGATACTATGCTCCACCCCTCAGATGTCCCTTCAGAACTTGAGGATTTATTCTCCCAGGTGTTAGCAAATGCCCTTTGCTGGAAAACACCACCTCATAAGGTTATTCCTACTTCCTGGACAACTGGGATCTAACTGTTGATTCAAAAGTAGAAAACCCCAGACATCCCACTATAAACAAAATAATGACTGCCAATATCACTTGCAAAAAAAAAAAATATATGAACAAAATTCTACCAAATATTAATAAACAGAATTCCAGATATGTGAGAGAATTTAAATATTACAACTGCATTACTTTAGGTCCCCCACTGCTGAAAAAGCTCATGGTTATAGAGCATCATAGATCTTTACTCAATATATTCCATGGTTTTGGCTAAGGGTCACAACTGTTCTCCAGGAAGCTCTGGAGATAAGCATAAGGTCTGTCCAAACCAACTGACATTCATCCATGCCATATAATGACCAATGCAAGGACTTCCCATTATTAGAAAATGTATTACTATGCATCATGATTTAACATATCAGAGGATAGAAAACTATATGATCTCAGTGGATACAAAATGTATCTGACAAATATAACACGCGTTTACCTAAATACATTTTTTAGTTGTTGATAGGTGCTGTCTAGTCGGTTCCAACTCATTGTGACCCTATGTACAAAAGAAAAAACAACTGCCCAGTCCTGCACCATCCTCACAATTGTAGTTACGCTTGAGCTCTTTGTTGCAGCCACTGTGTCAATCCATTCTGTTGTTCCTCTTTTTCTCTGACACTCTACCAAGCATGACATTCTTCTCCAGGGACTGGTCCCTCTTGATAACCTGCTCAAAGTATGCGAGATGAAGTCTTGCCATCCTCGCCTCCAAGGAATATTCTGGCTGTATTTCTTCCAAGACAGATTTGTTTGCCCTTCTGGTAGTCCAGGGTATATTCAATATTCTTCACCAACACCATAATTCAAAGGC